GAGCTTTAGGGTATTGCCTGTAGACAGTTTACTCCAAAGACATGAAAAGGTCGAAGAAAATCAAAGAAGTGTTCAAGTTGATCAACCAAAAGGTACTGATGAGAAAAATGTACTTGATGATAGGCAAACATCAACAAATGAAACTAAAGAACATATGTCAAATGAAATGGAAGAGATTGAACATGACGAGCCATATATGATTGATGGGGATAATAATGGAGATGATCATCAGAACAATGATATTAACTTGAAAGTAAGAAAATCTGAAAGAAAAACAAAAGGTGTTCCTCCTAACAGACTATCATTAATAGCTCAAGGAAATGTGATTGAACCAAAATCTTGGAAACAATTGGAGAAATTGTCTGAACCTGAGAAAAAACAATGGGTTGTAGCAGCTCAAGAAGAAATGGAAGCCTTATTAAAAAATGATACATGGGAACTTGTAGATTTACCTCCACAGAAAACAGCAGTTGGATGTAAATGGATATTTAAAGCAAAGTATGGAGATGACGGTATGGTTGAGCGCTATAAGGCACGTTTAGTAGCCAAAGGTTACTCACAGAAATATGGAGAAGACTATGATGAAATATTTGCTCCTGTTGTTAACTCAACAACAGTAAGAATTTTACTAACCATAGCAGCGACAAAAGATCTGACTGTGCATCATTTTGATGTAAAAACAGCCTTTTTAAATGGAAAGTTAGAAGAAGAAATATATATGCAACAGGCCGAAGGTTTTGTGAAATCTGATAATGAAGATAAAGTTTATAAATTGAAGAAATCAATTTATGGGCTAAAACAAGCAGCTCGGGCCTGGAATGAAACACTGAATACAACAATGATGAGCATGGGATTTGAAAAAAGCAATTCTGACCCTTGTTTATATACGAGTAATACTGATGGAAATTATACATATGTAGTGGTTCATGTTGATGACATTTTGTGTGTTGGATCAATTGAAAATGTCAAGAAAACATTTCAAAAACTGACACAATGCTTTGAAATGAAAGACTTAGGAGTTGTTCACAACTACTTAGGAGTTGAAATTGATAAGATGGATGGAGACTTTTACATTCACCAAAGAAGAAAAATAAATAAAGTCATAATTGAACATGGACTGGAAAACAGTAAACCAGCAAGAACACCAATGGAAGTTGGATTTATCAACTCAACAGCTATGTCACCAGATCTGCCAGATAACAAAATGTACAGGAAGGCAATAGGATCACTTCTTTATCTTGCAGTGACATCAAGACCGGATATTTTGTCAGCTGTTGGAATTCTAGCTAGAAGAGTTGAAAAACCCACCCAAAGTGATTGGAATGCTGTAAAGCGAATAATAAGATATCTGAAAAGTACCATTGACAAGAAATTAAAATTAGGGGTGGAAAAAGAATTGAAATTGTCATGCTATGTAGATGCTGATTGGGGGGGTGATTTAGCAGATAGAAAATCAATCAGCGGAATGATGTACAAGTTAGGAAACAGCACTATAAACTGGATTAGCAAAAAATAGACCAATGTCACTCTTTCTTCAACAGAAGCTGAATTCATGGCCGCAAGCTTAGCCACTCAAGAAGTAGTGTGGTTAAGACTATTGTTGAAAGATATGGGCTTCCCCCAAGAAAATCCTACAGTAATATTTGAAGACAATCAGAGCTGTATCAAGTTTATTGAAAATGAAAAGATAAGTGCTAGAATAAAACATTTAGATATTTGAAAACATTACGTCCGAGAAATGATAAGTAAGAACGAAGTATTTCTGGAATACTGTCCAAGTGAAAATAATCAAGCGGACCTTTTATCAAAGCCACTTCTAGGGCAAGTGTTTAAAAGATCACTCTTTTACCTAGGACTTTACTAGGCATGATGTTGAGAGGGTGTGTTGGAGTTACAACATCATCCAATTTACTTATTACCTGTTTTATAAAATCATATGTTATATATCTAGTTTTGTTATGATAAAAAAGTAAATAAAAGTTATTATTGTGTGAGTGTTATTAAAGAATAGTTGATTCAATTTTAACACTTTTATACCTCCACACAACACAAAAAAAGCCTACCAAAATCTGACTTGGGGAAGTACCTCATATTAGGGTATTTAAAGTGAAATAATAATTGCTCTAAGAAAAAAAATGTTAAAAACATTATTGCTAGATATAGGGTGTAGTATATCGTTTTAGCGAATTATGGAGTATGGGTAATTTCAAGTAACTATAGAATAATACAAAGCCATGCTTAAAAAGGCTTAGGGAGTACTGGAAACAGGTCCGCGACGTAGAGGAAGTGGAGAGAAGTTGCAAAGGCAAAAGGTCTGGATTGTGGGAAATGTCAAGAGACTATAGAAATATACAACACCATGCTTAAATAGGCTTAAGGAATTATGGAAACTGGTCCACGAAGTAGAGGAAGTGGAGGGAAGTTGCAAAGGCAAACAGTCTGGAGCGTGGGAAATGTCAAGTAACTATAGAATAATACAACGCAATGCCTAAAAAGGCTAGGGGAGTGATTGAAACAGGTCCACGACGTAGAGGAAGTGGTGGGAAGTTGCAAAGGCAAACGGGCTGGAGCGTGTTAAATGTCAAGAAACTATTGAATAATACAACGCAAAGCTTAAAAAGCCAGGAGAGTCATGGAAACAAGTCCGCGAAGTAGAGGAAGTGAAGGGAAGTTGCAAAGGTAAACGGTCTGGAGCGTGGGAAATGTCAAGTAACTATAGAATAATACATGACCATGCTTAAAAAGGCTAAGGGAGTGATGGTAACAGGTCCGCGACGTAGAGGAAGTGGAGGGAAGTTGCAAAAGCAAACGGTCTGGAGCGTGGGAAATGTCGTGTAACTAATGAATATTACAAGGCCATGCCTAAAAAGGCTAAGTTAGTGACGGAAACAGGTCCGCGTCGTAGAGGAAGTGAAGGGAAGATGCAAAGGCAAACGGTCTGGAGCGTGGGAATTGTCTTGTAACTATAGAATAATACAACGCAATGCTTAAAAAGGCTTAGGGAGTGCTGGAAACAGGTCCGCGACGTAGAGGAAGTGGAGGGAAGTTGCAAAGGCAAACGGGCTGGAGCGTGGGAAATGTCAAGAAACTATTGAATAATACAACGCAATGCTTAAAAAGGCTAGGGGAGTGATGGAAACAGGTCCGCAACGTAGAGGAAGTAAAGGGAAGTTGCAAAGGCAAACGGTCTGGATCGTGGGAAATGTCAAGTAACTTTAGAATAATACATGGCCATGCTTGAAACGGCTAAGGGAGTGATGGAAACAAGTCCGCGAAGTAGAGGAAGTGGAGGAAAGTTGCAAAGGCTAACGGTCTGGAGCGTGGGAAATGTCTTGTAACTATAGAATATTACAAGGCCATGCCTAAAAAGGCTAAGGGAGTGATAGAAACAGGTCCGCGACGTAGAGGAAGTGGAGGGAATTTCCAAAGGCAAACGTTCTGGAGCGTGGGAAATGTCTTGTGACTTACTTAATCCCGATGACTCCTCCTGGAGCATAGGGCCTCAACTGTTCCCCTCCACCTCACTCTGTTGGCTGCTTCTCTCTTAATCCCCTCCCAGGTCTTTCCTCTGGGAAATGTCTTGTAACTATTGAATATTACAAGGCCATGCCTAAAAAGGCTAAGAGAGTGACGGAACAAGTCCGGGACGTAGAGGAAGTGGAGGGAAGTTGCAAAGTTAAACGGTCTTGAGCGTGGGATATGTCAAGTAATTATAGAATAATACAATGCAATGCTTAAAAAATCTAAGGGAGTGATGGAAACAGGTCCGCGACGTAGAGGAAGGGGAGGGAAGTTGCAATGGCAAACGATCAGGAGCGTGAGAAATGTCTTGTAACTAATGAATATTACAAGGCCATGCCTAAAAAAGCTAAGGGAGTGATGGAAACAGGTCCGCGTCGTACAGGAAGTGGAGGGAAGTTGCAAAGGCAAACGGTCTGGAGCGTGGGAAATGTCAAGTAACTATAGAATAAAAGAACGAAATGCTTAAAAAGGCAAGGGGAGTGATGGTAACAGGTCCGCGACGTAGAGAGTGTAGAGGGAGGTTGTAAAGGCAAACGATCTATAATTTTTTTTATTATATAATTTTGAACTTGAAAACTTGTATAATATAACATTACTCCCAGAGGGTAAGGCGTGTCCATTGTTATGTGTCCTTGAATAATTGTCGCTATCCAACTGAAGGTGTCCATTTGCCGTCGGGCGTCGGTGTCCATCTATTGGTGTGCATGGTATGTGACCTTGAATAAGTAACGCTATCCAACTGAAGGTGTCCATTTGCTGTTGGGCGTCGGAAAAGAAAAACCGATATTTTTTAATATATAGATTTTCAAAAGTGGCTCAAAGATTTTATTTAATCATTTTTCACGCTTAAAGTTTTTCTCATCACATTTAATTCAGTTTTAGAAATTATTGCAACTGTAGAAATATTATTTTAGCTTATCACTTAGCCTATACTGAACCTGGCAGTTTCATTGTAGTATTTTTACATTCAGTTTTAATACAATTTTAGTTCACCATTTTGTGTATCACCTTTCAGATTACTTCACAATTAATTATCTACAAGAGGGTAAGTTATCTTACTGTGCAAGTAATCCTGGAGCCTCTACTGGCAACTTTAGACTTCTACAGAGTCATTTCCAGGCAAAAAAAAACAACAAAAAAAACGTGGAATAACTGTTTGTAAGAGGTCGTTATAAAACTAAAAAACCTGAGACACACGGTGATACTAGACCTCCACCTTGTACCCGCCACCGTGGGAAAATAATAAGTTGTATTGCCATGCATTTGACCTTTTTTTGTTTGGACTTATGGTGACATCCCTACAATTGAGCAATTTTACGTTTTTCCGTTCAAAAATGACGCCATGGGTGACCCCAGGATTACTTGATTAGTTAGTAATTTAGCTTCTTGTAGATGGTCGACAATGTTTGCATTTTGTTACTGCCCAGTTTATTTTGCATGTTCACAACCATGTGTTTTGTGTGATTGGGTTTTGGCAGACTTTGAGAAAGATGGAGGAAAGTTTTACTGAACAAACAGGCTGCATGAAATGCCACAAGTATCCAGCTTTTAAACGAGGAAGCAAGACAGACAGATATTTTCTGACTTCAGGTAATCAGCTGTTTTTTTCCCCTTAAGCTAGGTATACTTGCATTTAAATAAAGTAATTCATAATTTGATCTTACGTATTTTTATTGTTAGGAAAACAATGACGAAATAGACTGTATTACCTCTGTCTGTAATCCAAATTTTCATCAACAAGGTGCTGATTGGTTTCATTGTAAAAACGTACAATATGTCCAAATATAAAAATAAATAAATCCATAACAAACGACACATATAGGACATAACACAAAATAAATATCAATAGTGCTGTGATGACTGTAGAATCAAAACTGCTGATGACAATTTTGTACTGCAGACAGAGATAAGATGGCCTATTTTGTCATAAAAAGAGTCCAAATGCTATGGATTGCTATAATAAGAATGACAAAAAAATTTAAGAAGTTAATTTTCTATATGTTTAAATATTGTCTAACTGAAAAATTGTTTTTGGACCAACAAATTCTCAACATTTTTTAGGTCATCTTTCTTTATTCTGGGGTTGTGATACAAATTTGTTCACGTAAAAGTTTGGATTTAATTTGTTGAATCTACATTATTCGGCAGTTTATCTCGTAAGCGTACAATAGTGGTTACAACAAGTTAAAATTGCATAGTATCTTTTTCTATTGTATGTGTCACCCTGTTCATTTGTGCTGCACAATAAATGTAGTATAAAAAACTAAAACACAATCATAAAAAATTCAGATGTATGAATAAAGTTGAAATGTAGCGAGCTACTAAATGTTGAATGTTAAACCATTAATTTTGATTTTTAAAATGTACTGTACAGACGAGAGAATTTTAGAGTACGACATCGATGCTGTGGTCTTTGAGGAGCAGTCTCCGTACCAGAAGGTGCAGATTGTGCATTCTAAGAGCTTAGGAAACCTCTTGGTTTTGGATGAACTACAAAGTAAGTATAAGGAGTTGTTTTTTGTCTGAGAAACTTTTAAAGTTTTTTAACCAATTCATTTTAGTGTCATTGGAGTTTTTGAAAACAATAAAATATTTTGCCAAAATTATATCAAGATTAGATTTCATGCTTTTGAGTCTTAAAAATTTTATCGGTTCAATTTTAAGCAATATAATCATGCCGTTGTCATTTAAAAATGTATAATCATGTCATAGTCATGCATACATATAGCAAAATTCCCACTTTGTAAATCCTCATGTACTGTCAACTTTCACCTAAATTTATTTTGGGCCTCTCCCACCAAATCTACCACAGATAGGTAAAATTATATAAAACTTGTACAGCTGAGTAGTTAGCTCTCACCTAGTAATCAAAGATCCCCAATTTGATCCTGAGAAAAATTGATATAGTTCAGCCGCTTAGAAAGCGACCTCCTCCACCATTGGTTTAGCATTAGCGCGCAGGTCGTTTTCTAAGCGGCCGAACTATAGCTTTTTAATGGTTCATAAGTTGACCCAGCTGTTCTTGTTAATGGTCCAGCTAATGCAATGGTTGGTCTTAGTCAGTAACAACGCTGCATAAGGTATTTCCTTTAATTCTACACTCACCCTTAACTTATTTTTGGGTTAAAATACACAAATAGGTGGTTTTCCCAACTTGATTGGTAATATATAATGTTTAATGTTACTACAATAAGTTAGGCCTACACATCGGACCTGAATAAAGCATTTAAAAGAAAACTTGTTAACTATCTAAAGAGCCATATGTTTTATTCAGTAGAGGATTTCATTTTATATAGTAATAGTGGTTTGTAAAATGGTTCATGTGGAGAGTTTGTTTTCTCATTACGTTTAAGTTACATTTTAATTTAGTTTTTAACATTTTTGTATCATATTTTTGACATGTCATCTACCATTGAGGAAACTCCTCTGTATATGGTGTAATTTGTGACAATTTACATGAATAAACTGAATAAGACTGGATTCAATCAAGCCGTCTTTTGGCTGATGGGCAACACCTTACACACGCTTATTGATCAGACTTGAGGGTCTACTTTGATGCAACACTGTTAAACCCAAAGCCCTAATAAAACAATTTTACCTACGACCGTTTTTTAAAGTAGCCGTTTCAGTTCAGTTCTTAGAATTGAAAAGTTACCCATAACAGCATTGTTTATTTTCATAAAAGCATAGTTTTACTCATAAAAACACGGGTAATGCACTAATGAGGTTCAAGTATTGAGAGGGAAGAAGAAAAATTGTAACTATTCGAATTTAAACTAATCAGCTGTTCAGGCCTATTTAATTGTTGAGTGGTGAAATGAGAGGTTATAAATGAAAACATAACCTCTCTTAGAAGTTTTGAGTAGTGATTCTTAGTAATTAAATCACTGTCGTAGGTAAAGTAGTGTATGCAACTCACGTAAATAGTGTTAACGACACTCGTAAAAGTTTTAAGGCACTCGCCAAGGCTCGTACCGTACCTTAAATTTGCTACTCATATCGTTAACACTATCTTTACGCAATCGTTGAGTAAACTACTATTACATTTCAAAACAAAGGTAAATAAGTTTACTGCAATTTATGTAATTTAGCTGATGTTTGTTAGAATGAGTCAGTATTCAGTGTAACAATGGATTTGTTGCCAGATTTGTCAGAGCGAGACCTGATCTACACCGAGACATTGATGCAGAGAGGCAAGGAAGATTACGCAGGGAAAGAAATAGTGATACTTGGAGGTGGAGATGGAGCACTGCTGTATGAACTGCTCAAAGAAAAGCCCAAGTTTGTCACCATGCTGGAGGTGAGTGAACAGAAGTAAAATGGTCATATTCTTCCAATTATCAATCTTTAAGCTGTCTAAAAGAATCACTTAGCCACATTTTCTTAGTATTTAATTCAACAAAGCTTTTCCGTGTAACATCCCTTTTTCACCAGTTCTACTTAACCGATTCTTACGAATGAGGTGTTGCTGTAAAGCTTATGACCTAGCACTAATGGTAACTGAAAAGGAAATTTCTTTTAGGTCTTCGGCCCCCTAGTGTTTGATTTATTTCTAGAGTTGGCTTTCAACGATCCTGTGATGCTCACCAACTTTCTTTATAAAGTGCTTTGAATGTGAATTGTAACAGTTGATCCTTCAGTTTGATGTTTAACCACAGTCAGATTGCAAACAAGAGACTAAGCTGTTAATGAAAATGCATTTTAAACATGCTACACTATAAATAACTCTTTATAGTGTAAATCTACATCGATAATTTAATTTATTTTTAATTAGTAGTCTCATTCACCCAATAACTGTCTAAAACGAACATACTCTTTAAAAGGTAAAAGGTTATTTTGTGTTTTGCCTTGTAAACACGTTTTAAACCTATTGAAATGCACAATTTTCGCAAAGATCCCCTCGTTAAGTGTTTTATTATTGTTGAATGTTTCAGTTAGACGAGGTAGTGATCAGAGCATGCAGGGAACATTTGAGAGGCTGCTGTGGAGATATTCTGGACCAGTTGGAGGGGCTCAACTATAAGGTAGGCCATATGAACAGCTCTATAACATACTGCTCATATCATATCCTTATCACTCGTATTTTGAGAGTTTTCTAAAATTAAATGCCCGATGAGGCATTGATAATAAGAGTAGCTAAACAAACTCGAGTTGATTCTTGTTTTAGCGAATTTCCCTATAGCGTAGGTGGCACGGTAAGACCTAGGCCCGGGACCAATTAACTTTTTTTATTTTGATGTCCCCAGAGGCCAAAAATACCATCCGTTCAAATTTTTATATATGTATATATATATATACACGTCTGTGAACGCAATAACTTGAGTAATTTTTGTCCGATTTTGATGAAATTTGTTTTAAAGGTGTAAGGCGGGATAAACTTGAATGATGATCGGACCATGGGAACGGGGTTTTACGGTGGGTTTTATGGGGTAAAAAATGGTTTTTCTCATTTTTGACCCTCAAAACACAAAATTTCCCAATTTCTCTCTAGACCTTTTTAAAGAGCTTAAAAAAACAAATAATTTAGTATATCAAAGTGTTTTTGTACGGTTATTGGTAACGGAGAAAATAAAAAAAAAATGTAAATTTAAAATTCCCATGTTATTCTTATGGAGAAAATTGTAAAATGTTGTCGTTTGCTTGTTTATGGATATATTTTGATAAAACCTGGCAAATTTGTTTATTGTATACTAAGCTCATAATCTATCTATACTATTATAAAGAAGAGGTGGTGTCTGTGTGTGTGTGTGTTTGTATGAGCTAATCTAAAAAACTACTGAATCTACTGGGCTCAAATTGCACACAAATGAAGCTACAGTTCCGAGGATACATATAGAACTATTCCCGCTTCGATATTGTCCTACGGCTCTGCCCCGTGGGCATTCAAAAATTTGAGGTGAGAGATTTAAAAGTAAATATTGATTGATGGTATCCATGGTAACAAAGAACAAACCTACAAAGTTTAAAAATGTAAACAAGCAGAACTAACTGTCAAATGAATTTTGATTTTACAATTCCACACAGCTGGTTCAAACATATTAAATACTGCACGAATATTAGAACAGAGAGGGTAAGGATTATAAATTAAAATAATGATGTCACTAGCCTAAATGTAAACATTATTTAACATCACTTAAATAGAGCTGTCAAACCATATGTATAAGCATTTTATACTTCTATGCCAACCCCGTACGAAGGACGGGTACTCTGCTAGTATTTTACTAAAAAAACCCACTTTAACAGTTTCCTTGTAGCAGCAAACCTAGGTACTCGTTAAACTCAATGTTATTTAAATAGATTTAATTGAAAATCAATTCCGACAAATGGAAATTCGCTTAGTCAGCAGGTTTGCTGCGGCGGGGGTATTTTAAACTATCATTGTTATCATCATTCTCATTCTCATCCTCATAATAAGGAGCTCCAATATCTTGGTCGTTGGATAAGCTAGTCTGATTGCACCTCGAGGGGCGGCTCCAAGAATAATTTTTTGGGTAGGCCTGACAAGGATCGAGAAAGAGTTTGATCAGGGAACGAGAGGTTTGAAGGGCTTTCCCCTTAAAAGGGGGGAATTGTAAAATTTAAATGTAACATTATTAGTTTGAATGCTTTCCCTTTATTTACATATAGATATAATTAAATTTCTTTATTTCTTTATAATTTTAAAATATCTACCACAATTTTGGGTAGGCCCGGGCCTACCTGGCCTGAACTCTTGAGCCGTCCCCGTGCACCTCATTTTACAAAAATCATGATATTTCAGTTCAGCTATTTTTATTTATATTTTTTTGAACTTGAAATCGTTTGATAAGGAATTTTAAATGAAGGATAAGTCGGAAAAATCTTAAGATAAAACCGTTGAAAATAAACCGTTTGTGTTGAAAATAAAAAATCACAGATATCTGGTTAACAAAACGATTTTGGAAAAACTTTCTGTTTATTTTAACCCATAGAACGATTTCTGGAGTTTGGCTGTTTATTTCAGAACATCCTGTATATACTTAATACAATAAGGGTTTTCTCTGTAACTTCCCTTTTTCACCTGTCCTTCTCAACCGATTTTTACGATTGTGGTGTTATTTTAAAGCATGTTTTTTAGGCCATCGAAAATATTCAGTCTTGATTATATTTCCAGATAGTGATTGACGATTGCGTCAAATCGTTGGACCAGATGATCGCTGAAGGCAAGAAGGTAGATTACGTGTTTGGAGACCTAACTGACATTCCTGTATCAGTGACTCCACAAGGTGAAGTTTGGGACTTTATTCGTCTGATTCTCAACAAGGCTATGCAAGTTATTAAGCCATCGGGAAAATATTTGACCCATGTAAGTGTATAGTAAAGCCTGCTTAAAAAAAAATCTAAACTAATCAATGCATAAACTGTTTCTACATATTTTCGAACCCACATATGTGCTGGAATGCCCAATGGAATGTCCATTAAAGCTTTTAGGCCCCTATTAGCCGTGAGCAACATGTGGCGCAGCTAGTGGAGCCGCAGGTGTCGGACGTGTAGAGGGGCATGGAGTCAAATGGTGCCTATTAGCCGCGGGGAGACCGGTGGCGCCGCCGAAAAAGCTGCCCGAGGTGTTGCCGGGAGTGATTTTGCCCGGCAACATGTGTCGCGACCGTTTTAGTGTCCAGGCAGTCGGGGGGCATTGCAGTATATGGAGCCTATTAGCCGTGGGCAACATGCGACGCCACTGACTGCGCTCGCATGCACTATTAACGTGAAAACGAAGCCTGTCAGTCACACAGTCTACATCGTGGTTTGAGTCGATTGAGACGTGCCTCGCCATATTGCTGTTATATTCATTAGTGACTTCGGTTCACTTTGTTTACCAGTGACCTTTTTAACAGTGTTTTCTTTCCTTTTTGGGTCATTAGCGTTTTTAGTTGTCTTTAGTTTAGATAAACAATGTCCAGTGCTAATAGTGACGTGCAAATTGTGGATGCAGTCACTCAACGTCATGTTTGACACTAGAGTGTTGTGGTGAATTCCGCTGTTTGAGCGAGCTACGAATGTGTCGCGCGACTAGTGTCCAGGTTCCAAAACGCTGTGGGCCACCGGCGGCTCCACTAGCTGCGCCACATGTTGCTCACGGCTAATAGGGACCTTAGTTAAGTTGAGTGTTTTGTCAAATAATAGAAGATAAAAAATCTTACCGTAAGCACAGATAAGTAAGAGACAGAGGATACAATGGTGTCAAGAACGAATTCTATTTCTTGTCCCTTCTGCTCTTCTTTCTCCCCTCACCATCACATACTACAGCGCTCACACTGTAGGAATACCCTGTGCGCTACAACTGCTGTACAAATGTGCTATGGGGCCATCGCCTTCGGGCTCTTCCTTGCTCGGTACAAGTACATTTTCCACCCCAACATACCACTGCTAAATGCGCACGGTTGTCCCATAAGCTTGTATCCTCTGCATCTTACTTCTCTGAGCCGTGTAAGTGAAAAAATATAATGGAGGCTTGGAGTTGTCTCAATTTGGGAGAAGATGGCAGTAAGTTTGAATTACTAAACAATAGACTACCAGAAAACATTAAATCAGAAATTAATATAAATTAATTTAAGTAACTTTTAAAGGCTATATGCTCGATGATAGATGTTATTCTTTAGATGATTTTTATTAACGTACAAAACATTACTTTAATGTTTTTTGTGACTAAAAATTATGTGTAATAATGTAATTAATGTATGTAGGATGTATCCTATAGTTTATTTGATTTGTAATCATTCCTGTGGGTTTTACAGGGTAACGGTGTTTCCAGCCCGAAATCTCTAGCGATGTTTGAAGACCAGCTGCGTAACTTACAAATTCCAGTCGATTTCACCCGAGACACAGCTTTCGTTCCGTCTTTCCTCGAAGATTGGGTTTTCTACCAAGTTTGGCCCAAGTTGGTTAACTAGTAACGCTTTCTATGACACCGGTATCCCTTTAATCCATGATATGCCACCGTGCATTTATTACAGTACAGAAGTAAGCACCATACTATGACATGAGGAGATGTGTATATCACTGTAGAATAGGACATTCGAAACAAATACGAAGAACATTGTTTGTTGTAAGTTTATTGTATTAATTTAAAGACATGAAATAGGTTTTTGTTGGTTTGGAATGAATGTACACGCACAAAGGAGATGTTATCCATGTGCGTTGAAGGATATTTAAATACAAATTCTAGCCTGTGATTTAACAGTGTGTGTTTCTAGTCGGAATTTGTAAATAGAAACGTTTTCATGGATTTTGTGTATTGACCAGATGATTTGTTTATTTACCTCAGGGCACCAAGTAGGTCTAGTTTATATTGTGTTATGTATCTGTAAGATTTCTAGAAGAAGTCTAAAAAACAAAAAAAGTACCTTTTTTATATTTTTGAATTTTTTATGTTTTAGTCCGGAATTGTTTTTACATTACTTCAGGCTAGGTCTAGAGAAGGTAGGAAGCATTATTACTTAGATAAAATTCCTTGGTGATTGGCTGGATTTAAACCCGGGACCTCAGGGACAAAAGTCCTGCGCTCTACCACTAGACCAGCTCGCTCCCCCGACAAAAGTATCTTGTACATCACAGCAGTTTTTAAAATCTTGGATGCTCCCAAAATATATTCTAGTTTAAGTTAAAATTCTTTACTTTGCCTTGTTTTCCTATGTTAATACTAACATATTGCACGTTTTGACTGTTAGGATATACAGTAGAACCTTAATAGCAAGTGTTATTTTTAAATACACTTGAATACATTATCCTTCATTAGGTTATTGCAAACCTAAATAAGAAGTCGACCTTGATAGAAGTCTTATTATTCCATGAGACACTTTTGATATCAAGGTCCTATACTGTATAAGGATCACAAGAAGAAGTAAATCCTGTCAAATTCCAAAACTTATGAATGTTGTAGCATCTTTCAGTTGATGATATTAAATATATTTTACTATATTTAAAATTGTTCTGTTGAAAATTCAACAAAGGTATAGCAAAGTCACAAAAATTCCTTTACGAGTTTAAATCCACAAAATTCACTGACAATGATTCTAGGTAATGTCTAGTACATAAGTTCCACACTGAGTTTTACTTTATTCTACACAATTAATGTTACGGTATGTTATTTTTTTATTATGACCTTTCTTTTATAATTTTGTAATTAATGTATACCGTACTGACTCTGTATACTGATTCTTTACTCGAATGGCATGATTTACTTTTTTAACTCACTTTTGTGTTGAACAAATTTAAGTTGTAACTTTCCCCTTTTACTGTGGGTGACATTATTTTTGTAATGCTTTTGTTAGGCTATTTGGTATACAATATTACATACATTGTTATTAAGTTTAGATAATTGTTTTCTAGTCAATTTAGTTGATTGTTCTTTAACCAATGTAGACTCAGGGGGTGTAGACTGAACATAACTTATGATTAAATATAGTATAGTAAAATTTCTGTTTTTTTTTTTAAGAGGATTGCAAAAAAGGTTTAAATTAAGGTAGATTCTTTGATTGTATTTGCTTATTTTAAACTGATGTATCCAAATATGTATGCACTTCTTTATTTAATGTTTATGTTATTAAATCATACTCACATTAATCATCAATGTCTTTTTTTTAGTACTAAACAGTTGAAGCAACTTAATTTTTAATAGTAAACACACTGTAACCGTCTTTAATAGCTCTGTACAATAATTGGAAATCAAAAAAGCGTGAGATGTTTTGGTCAGAACGGGTTGTTTATAAATCTTTTTTTGGTGCTTTTTTTGTGTGTGTTAGTTAGTTTTAGAATTTGACCAATTTAGTTGTAATTTTGTTTTGTCGTAGTGGTCTTAGTTCCTTGACTAAGTTATCCTTTGAAACTACTCCCTAGTCAGAGAGTGATAGTTTGAAAACGATCAAGTAGTCATATAACTTTACTGCTAACAAATTATTGCTATCAAAGTCATAATATACCTTATCGGTCTTATTTTATTTGTAAATATAGGTTGTCATTTATTTTTATTTTTTACACAAGTGACATCACATACTGTATACGTTGATCAAGTGAACAAAACAATATTTTGTTTTATAATTTGTAACACATTTTTCACTGTATGAATACTGCGTTAGTTCTGTAGAACCTTGATAGGAAGCCTCTCTAAAAGATAAAAGTTTACTTTGATTTCTTATCAAGGTTTGAGCTGAAAATACCATATATTGGAATATTCTAAACATTTTATAATGTGTTATGTTTTCAAGAGGCTTGTTATGAAGGTTCTACACACCACTTTTGTGTAATCGGTTTTATTGTATGAATAAAGATGTATTTTCCCTCATTTATTACCGTTTGCTTTCCTGTGAACCATATAAACTTATTATTTTTAGCAAATTCACGTCCGCAGTAAGCCTACTTATTTAAACTTACTGCACAGAGCGGGTGGTTTCAGGTCTCTTTGTAGACAAGAAAGTCGTTGTTTACTAAAAAGGCTAGGTAAAATTATAACTGGAGATTAGTAAATTTACTGAATATTCCCACAGTTCACTTTAAAAACAAGCTACATGAGTTTTTTCATTAGGTTCTCAATGAAGCTACAACATAGATTTAGACTTAGAAAATAGGTGTTCCATTTTCACAATAAATATTTGGTAATTTTTTACTTTTGTTGGAAATTTGGTGAAAAGTATCATAAACGACTCACCAGGGGTATTCATACAAAACTAGGAAGCATAGCAATGAACGACCTTTGAAATTCCCATGTCGCATGATTCTGCCGCCTGAAAGCTCAGCCACCCGGTTAAGCGCAATTGGAGCTCCTCAACACTAAATTAATCAAGTTTTTTTTGCTCAAAACAAATGAAAGTCACCCAGAGGCCGTGGACTGAGTGGTGGGTGGTTGAAGAAAATCTCACTTTTCCATGATTGAAGGAGAGGTCGTTTCTGCGATTTAACTTTTGAGGCAGGCATTGTCATGAAAACACAAAATTTAGGACGTCAACTTTTAGTTCAGCTGTTTTGAAACTGTAGGTATGCACCATTTCTTTTATTTAAAACTTAATTACTTTAAAACTTTGATTTATTACGTTGTTTATGTACCTTTTACACCCTCGATAACAAATTTCTATAGGTATTAAGGCCAAGAAAAACAGTTTTTTAAACCGAACCTCATAACTAATGGGATTTACAGTTGCAGCACACTTTAAACTCAAATATTGCGACAACAGGCTGCATAATGACAGGCACTGACATGGTTAGACAGCTTTAAGAAAACAAAAATGTATGTACAAGGAAGTACACAATCAGCGATCGTGGAGGGGGCCTTGGACCCCCCCCCCCCCTGGAGCAAAAAGGGGATAAAAATTGCTGTTATGTAGGCTTATTTTCAAGAAAAATATGAGTGACTACATTCATTTCTTGTGTTCTAAATTCCCCTCGAAAACGAAGAAAAGTAAGGGTTCCAAATGAGGTATTTGGAACCCTTACTTTTCTTCATTTTTTAAAAAACGAGGTTGTCTGTCTTTAAGACCTTCAAAAGCTTAGGTAGTTTTATTTAATGGGCCAATGTATGCCTTTTAGTCCTTTTGAAAACATCTTAGTTTGCTTCTTGTAGTTCAACCGATAAAACTATTATTGCCTGATCATAACCAAAGATAAGAATATAATTAGTTACTGTATAAAATTTCACATAACTTAAATAAATACCAACGAACGAGATAAAATTATTTATACCTGTATCTGCAGTAAGCTCAAAAGTAATCAACATGAAAACACGCATTTTATTATAATTGATTCAAAAATATTATAAAACTCTTAATTATTTTAGCTTATATAAAATAAAAAAACACATTTCCTTCAAAACCCGTTATGGCCGTTATACAAATAATACAGTACGCGTTTTCAAAATACTTCTATGTTGATACAAAAGGCTAAAATAAATTTTATATTTAACAAAATGTCTGTATTAACCATAGACGGCCTTTAAACCGGAAAGATAATCATCTGATCATATAAGATAGTTTAGTCAGAACTTTACGTGTTCGCATTACTTCTAATCTCAAGCTCAAGGCTGATTCTATTATAATAACCACAGCTAGCTCATTGAGGTGGATCTTGGCAGTAAATATATGTTACCTTAGTCCTGTAACCTTGGACCCTAAAACGACCACATCTTCCTCTATGGAGTACAGCTGTTACTCTTCAGTCTTCTGTCATTCGCTAGTGAGCGAGATTTCAAACCTTCTTCTTTTCTTTCTTTGTGCTACACATGGGTTTGTTTACTCTATTGTTTGTGTTGTTTACATTGTCTTGTCTAATGTTTAGCTAGACGCTTCGAAACTTGAGGACGAAGACTAGACAAAACTTTTGTCAGTGAATGGTAACTGTACATGTTTTATAAGTTGACTAAAAACTATTGTTGTATACCTCATTGATAGGTATAAGACTGCAAATTCTATGATTTGGTTTCAGCAGAAATTTTAAGGTTAGTTAATGCCGAAATTTATGCAAGTATTTGCACTTTTAGCCACCTGTTGATTGCCATGCAAAACCTGTTATTGCTTTGTTTTTTTGTATGTAGTTTTAGGTTAAATATTCGTCTTAATGGGGATCAGTTACCTATAAATAGTTTTATTATTGTTTTCAAGTAATTAGATTTTGTTCTTTCCAAATGCACTAAGTTAGGTAAAAAATTAGTGTAATAAAAATTATCCAAATTAATTTCAATAAAAGTTGACTAAAGCCTAAAACAACTATTAATGGTTTGGTTTGGATTTTAATTGGCTGACAGTATAATATTACATAGTTGTAAACAAAGGAATTGTTTTTTTGTGTATTAAATGTAGCCTAAGTTATGTTTTAAAGTTGAAAATAAGGCCTATGGATCAACTTTATAAAAATGTTACAAGTCAGGTTTTAAAGTAACCACCTCAGTGTTTCCATACACGGGATTTTATCCCTAAATCGGGATTTCCAAACCTTGTATGAGATCTAAATGGGATGTGGGATAAATTTGGACTTTCGGCACTAGCACCTAATTTTCTTTTTTATGCTGCTTTCCAGATAAAAGCTAAGTTAACCCTATTTATAGAGAAGTAAGGTACAGAGGATACAAGCTTATGGGACAACCATGTGCTTTTGAGCTCTAGTATGTTGGGGCGGAAATACACTTGTGATAAGTTAAACAATGGAAGAGCCTGACGGTGAGCAGTGTGCAGAATTTCGTATCGCACAGAGTCTTCCTCCACTGTGAGCGTTGTAGTTGGCTACTACATGAAGGGGGTCATTACCCTATATACCAGTAGGCCTACTAACTTAGCGCTAGACACCACTTAAGTGTATCATAGAATGTTTCCTCTGTATCTTACTTTTCTTTGCCCTATTTGATTAAATTATTTTGGTACTGCATGAAGTATAATTAAGTAGCAAAGTTTGAATTATTGAAACATGATAAGGCAAACACAGAATGTTCCAACTATGTAAAAATATTAATGTTACCTAAGAAATATTCCTAAAGCAACTTGTAAGCAGCCAGTTTTGTAATTACATACATAGTCAAAGTGTATACTCCCAGGGCTGGCTGTAGGGTGGGACAGGGGGGGCCCAGTCAAATGTAAAATCTTTTCTGTATACATGTAATCTGCTTAAGTCAAAAATTTTAGTATCTTATGGTTTACCAGTTCACTAAGTAATTTTTGAGTTTGAATTGTTTGATTTAAGTCTTGACTGTGAATAAATTGCAACTGTGGGCACGAGAATTAATCAAACTATCAAACATCTTAGATATACTGTACGTATTGTTATTTTATTTGTAACAAACAGCACACAAGCGGCTGGGCACTAAATCAGGAAAATAGGAGCCCCAGGATCGCTCAGCCCAGGGGCCCGTGACGGCTCTTGCCAGCCCTGTATACTCCCATACTACCTAAACAAACTACAATACCAACCAATCTTTGTGACATATTTATTTTGTGACTATATCACTCAAATTACCACAAAAAAGCGATGTATGAGTTAATTGGTATGTTGTATTCATTAGTATTTTGTATTTATTGTATTTATTTTTGTATTTGTTGAACTTTTTGTATTTATTAGAATTTTTCAAAATACATAAAATCATCTTAGGCTACTTATATAAGTTAGATGAGGTTTCTTTAAAATATATGGTAGACAAATATCAGAAATAATGTATTTTGCCACGTATCACTGCTAGTTTTGTTCATTTCAATGTTTTACTCATCACGACAAACGCACACCTGGCAATTATATTCTGAATCACACAATAGAGGCAGCCATGGGGAAATGTTTAGTTTCGGGGGGGGGGGGGGAAGTTAGTTTCAAGAGAGGGGAAAACCTCATCTAGACCTTTTGGAATATTTGGATGTTAATTGTTAATAACTTGGTAGAAATTCAAGGTTACAGCGGCAATCAAATAGTTAGTAGTTAAGTTATTATCTCAATTGTGAGTGAGGCGGTAACACGGGATTTTTATTACTCCAGTAAAACTTTAAATTCATTTAGAGGTAGCACATTATAATTCTTATAATCTTAGATTTAAATAGGCTAGGCCTTAAAACCTAATTCTTAAAATTAGTTTTTATTTTATTTTAAGAGTCAAAACATCTAGAGCTAAGTTGTATTTTGTAGCTCAAAAGTTTCCAAAAGGGTGTTCAAAATTTAACTTGTATGAGTGGTTAAAATTTTAATTTTTACACGTAAGTGCTTAACAAGGTGTAAGATGGTCTAAATAAATCAAGAAATCAATTATTTAAAATACCACTTTTTAATAAACATTTTTTATGAGCAAAGATTTAAAATATTAAAAATAGTGGCTCCTTGCCTAAAGTTTTATTTTGTTAAATATTTGTTGGATCATGACGTAATTTAGTATTAACACTTTGAGGTCCAATAAATTGTTAAATAATATGAATGGTCAAAATATATTACCAATTCATTCGGGAAGCTCTGGGGATACAGCAAAGAGTGAGTTTAAAATTGAGTGAAATACTTTGTGTGGCTTTCTTACCGACTAAGATAATCGGCTTCTTTACTCATGACCATTACTAAAGGGCCAATAACAGCTGGGTCCAGTTTTGAACCATCAAAAACCTAATGACTTTTCCGAGGATCCAATTGACGACTGATCAGAAAAATACAATACTAATTCATTTTTAATTATCATAATGCTTCTTATTTTTTCAGAATAAGTATGGCTGTCAACACAATCCTCTTGGATTTGACAGTTGACCCTCAAAAAATTTTGGAGAAAAATGGCCTCAAGTCCGCAGTCCAGGATGTGTTATCAAAGTTCATCCCGGAGCTGAAGGAGGTTTACACCAGTGACTTTCAAGGCGGAGGAACCTTGTATACTTTCACAGCTGTGAGAGACTCTTTCATAACTGTCAGAGCTTTTACCAAGGGTGTCATATCTATCAACATTGAATATTACCGGGAAAACGGCGATGAACCTTTTTTGTCGTTTGAGGTAGGCCTAAGTCAAGTAGAGTTTCATCAATAATTTATACAAATTTTAAATTTATATTTCACAATGTTTACAAGTAAAAGATGGTTTAAAAGTATGATTTTGGCTTCTAGATTGACTTGGTCTTAAAAAAGGTTTCTACTTGAATATTCTGATTAACATGGAATAATTGGATTACAAGTCATCTAGATAAATGAAAGTTCAGAAATCAAACAATACTCAAACAACTTCGATACCCCTTCAAAAAATTTTTCCAAAAAGTAGTCTTGCAATTATTTTTTTTATTTTGCAACATTGTTTAAGAGTTTGGTAGATGTTCTAGTGTTGTACTAACATTGAACCTTTTTTGCTTTTGTCTGACAGACTATTCGACAACTGGAAGAGAATTTGACCAAACAAACAAAAAGTACGAGAAGCCACAAGTATCCTGCTCTGACTCGAGGAGGCAACATCGACAGATACTTCCTCACTGCTGGTAACTAAAACAATACTGTGGAACTTTGATGATAAGACCCACAAAATCTAGTACTGTATCATACCTGTAATCAGGCATAGCCTCCTGTAACAGAAGGCCGTGGCATGACAAAAATGGCAACGATGCTGTCCCTTCACAATGAAACAGCTGTTCAGAGTTCATTTTCCTACTCCGGTACTGGGTATTAGACAATTTAAACATCTGTTGTACTAATTTATAATGGAGAGTATAGGTAATGTTTATTTTAAACTTTTGTTATTTCCATTATTACCATGATAATCAATAGGCATGCCATTGCAACATTGCCACACGCCAACAACGCGACCTTGTATTAGAGCAGGCTATGAATCAGATGTTATTGATTCTTAATAAGAAGTCTACCTTGATAACAAGTCTTTTTGATAATCCCCATCAGAAACTTGTTATCGAAGTTCTACTGTGATTATGTCAACCACTTGTTTCTTCTTAGGGATCAGTCTAGACTTTAATTATCATGGTACAATATCATGGCAACAAAGTGATAGCCTAATATTGCTGACCCTCTATTCTTGGAAACCCTTGAAAATCCAGGAATTTTTTACTGGTTAAATGAATTTACTGACTCAAAAGTTAAAATAGTTGGTTAAACACAGTGATATGTATTTTTAATGTTTAACCAAAATGTTATATGACAAAATTTGCATAACAAATTGTCCTTGTTCGTAATATTTTTTAATATATTGTAAAATAGCTCATTAAGCACACATACTAAATATGTTTCTGTACAATTCATAGAATAGAATCTTCTTAAAATAATTTTTTTCACAGATGAGAGGCTCATAGAGTATGATATTGATGCTGTTGTTTTTGAGGAACAATCACCATACCAGAAGGTTCAAATTTTTCACACTAAGAGTTTTGGAAATATGTTGGTTTTGGACGAAAACCAAAGTAAGTATGCTTCGGAATTGGTTAATTTATTTGAGAACAACCTAATATTTGAATGGTTGTTGTGATTATCAAATGTTACGCTTAGTTTAGCAGTATATTACTGTTGTGTTTCGCTCTAGAACTCACTGTAAACCTATATTTAAACATTTCAAAATTTTAACTTTACCTGCAATAGCCTATATATTCTTTAAGTTCTGTTGTATGTAAAAAATCATTTAGAAATTTTCTCAGAAGATTCAAATGAACATAATTATGAAACCAGATTTAAAAACGACTTTCAAATACTCAAAGAAATACTCAAAGCTTTGTAAATACTCAAAGAGTCAAACAAACATTCAATACATGGCAGCTAAATTGTTTAATAATTTATCAGTGGAGTCTCGGGAGTTGTCCTTGAACACTTTCAAATCAAAATTGAAAACATATTTAATACAAAAATGCCCTTATACAGTGGAGGATTTTTTTACATGTCAAAATATTTCTATTTAATTGTGCCTGTATTTTATATATATTTTTGTGGATCTGTTTTTTTATCATATTGATTGATTAGATGTAAGTATTTATTTGCTGTATTATAACAGCATTATGTATTTTGTGACGATTGTTAATGCATTGTTAAATGTCTACAACAATTATTTGATTTGATTTGATTATCAAATTGAGCTTTAACACACTTTATTAATACCATATCCGTTTGATAAATTACCTAATTATTTGTAATGTAATACAGTGTTACCTTTGCTAACCTAATTAACCCATTATCCAGATGCAAAAGGAAATTCTGTGTAGTGTGTATGATATTTGATATTTTATTATATTTTTGATAAATGAATATCTATACTCTTAAGTTTTAAATACAAAACACATTATACTGGATTGAGGACTTAAAAAAAAAAACAATAAAAAACACAACTTTAATGAGAAGGCTGAATTTAGAAAACACAGAATCCAGCCTGTCATGTAAGGTCAAAGTGAATGTATGAATAAATGGTTTCAATTTCTTGTGGTTCCAATCATAAAAAAAAGGCTTTCCCTAAAATGTTATATTTTCAATCCATGAATACCTAAGTAAAGTACTAAGCAATGAGCACAATCTTTAATTTTTCTTATTAAACGTGAGAGATATTATTTCAAATAGTTTTACTTTATTAGACTAACAAAATGATCTCGTCCTCGTTCTCACGTCTTGTTGACTACACAGTTACCAATAAGCCAGCCCAAACAATTCTGACATATAAGAATCATACATAGAACATCACCAATTACTAAAAGAGTGGCCTCATCGTACCACAGGCTTGGAAACGCTGTTGTAATCAACACATACCATATTTTTTATACGTATACTGCAGTTCTTTTTAAACCTGTCAAAACTTGAATGTATCATATTAAATTTTTACTATATGATCTGACTGTAAAATCAGATATGTCGGAGCGAGACCTGATCTACACCGAGACATTGATGCAGAGAGGCAAGGAAGATTACGCAGGGAAAGAAATAGTGATACTTGGAGGTGGAGATGGAGCACTGCTGTATGAACTGCTCAAAGAGAAGCCCAAGTTTGTCACCATGTTGGAGGTGAGTGTAGTAGCTTTTTGGAGGTGGAAAAATTGTAGGTAGATGCCTTAGGGGGTATAGTTCAGCCGATGATTCTGTGCGTGCGGACGGGTTTCCTACTAGCCGAACTACAACATACAGGTGCCAGTTATTGGCAGTGCTGGGATTAGGGGTGAGTGAGTCATACTGAGTAGGTAGCAAGACAAATGTATTCACGAAAGTACCCCCGCCAACCCACTCACCTAGACCCGACCAGTTCTGGCTGCTCACACAGAACTTTGGCCAATCTGTATTTGGGGATGAATTCTCACCTCCCTTCTGCTTTCCTTTCATTCCTGCATAATCTCTTTCGTTAGCTAGTAACTTTAAAGAACTGTATAGTATGGCCAAAAAATTCACCTTTGTCACTCACTTATTTCTTTACCTTGACCTGGCCTCGATCTTTATACTTGTGTCCTAAACAATCACCTTAGGTCATAATGAAAAAAAATTGGCTTAATGTCTATTTATCAGGTCATTAAAAACATAAATGTGACTTTCATTAAGTGTATTATTGATGAATGTTTCAGTTAGATGAGGTAGTGATCAGAGCATGCAGGGAACATATGAGAGGCTGCTGTGGAGATATTCTGGACCAGCTGGAGGGATCCAACTATAAGGTAAACACTAATCAGCAAAATCTGTACAGCTAAACCTTCAGAAACATTTGATTTTTCAGACCTACTTGTTGTGAGTCCTAATTAGTAGGACTTTAATTATTTAAAGCAAATTTCCTTATAGCAGTTTTCCACAACCACGCCAAAATCTTGTACATCTTCATCTTCATCGTCCCTCGGTTACATAAACAACGTAATCTTTTTCTGCGGCTGTGGCAAAATCTTGAATATTTTCCTAATCTTTAGACATCATCTTTGTCTCCCGCGGTGAAAGAAAATCATAATTGTACTTTGTAATCGTGGAAAAAGCTTGAATTTTTCGATAGTACAAAATTTACAGACACATTTTGCGATCATAATAGTTAAAGCTCGGCTCAACTCAGCCTATTTCCTGTAAAATAGGCTATCTTGAATTGAATCATCCGAATGTGTTGTGGTCCCAATTGATTTGGATGATCGGAATTCTACTGTATAATAAACTTTGGACTTCTTTCAAATAGGCTAATATGCTTTTTCTATCAAAAAGTGGTGTTTACATATAAATTATTGTTGATTTTCCCAGGTGGTGATTGATGACTGTATAAAATCTCTTGACAAAATGATCACTGAAGGAAAGCAAGTTGACTATGTTTTCGGAGACTTGACAGAAATACCTGTGTCAACATGTGCCCAAGGAGAGCTATGGGACTTTCTGCGACTTATCCTCAACAAAGCCTTCCAAGTGTTAAGGCCGAGCGGCAAGTTTATGTCCCACGTAAGTTGAATTTGAGTTTTTTTATTTGTAGGCTATAATTTTTCCTTTTTAAGCATGTGACTTAAAGCAAAAGGGTATGGGTTTTAAGAATTTTTGTGTTGATAGAAGGCTTAACTCAATGGGAGAGAGTCCAAACTGGCTCAAGAAACTGAAAACTTAAACTACACAAAACATTAACTCATTACCTTCCTAAGTTGAAAATTATGTTAGCGACAGTGAAATACTCTAATGATATGGGTTTGGTGTAAAGTTTTGCGTTTCTTGTGACGGGATGGTGCTTCACCAATGGGCTTCAATGGGCTATTTCAGATTCAGGTAAGCCCACTGTCCCAAGAAATCGTCTTTTGCTTTTAGCGGAATGAAAAAAACAATACTCTTATAGAATTATTTTTATTATAAAAGCAGGTTTGTCGGAATGAGAAAGATTTCACTCTGGCATAACGATCACTAAAACTTCACATTTTTCTCAATAATTTCACAGTTACACACAGCACTTTCATACCAATACTTCACACTTATACTTTACTTTACACTTTCAATTTGAACTAGGAAGAGAAAGATTTCTTGTTAACTTTTAATCTGTTCATGGTTGAAAATCCTTGACAGTGAAATACTCTCATTTTAGTGTGTAACATAAGGTTTTGGGGTTCTTGTGGCTGGATGGACTATTTCTTATTCAGGAAATTTCGTTGTGCCAAAACTCTATAAAACTAAGGGTGTTGTGTTATGTTTCATCATTAACCTGATTTAAAAATGAGTTTTTTGAGCTTCTGAATGATGACAATGATTTTGGTTTCCGGTAGCCTAATTATTTTATCAGAACTTTTAACTCTCATTCCTTACTAGTACTTTGCTGATACAGACACACCAAGTTTTAGAACCTACTTTCAAAGATTAGGCCTACATTAGATTATAAGATCTTTCCCTCCTCCATCACAACTAACTTGGGAATGGAAACTTTCGTATCAGTGGCTTGTCAAACCACGGAGCCCCCGAACCTTAATCTCAGATAACAGTTCCATTTCCCTTTCCATATGTAAAACAAGTTTAGACTCTCGTGTAAATAATAATTAGTAATTATATACAGTAGGCTATACATAGAAACCAAAACCCCTTATTTTTAAGTATTAATTTGCAAATCCATTGTGTTGACAACAATGCTTCCATTACCATTTAAGGACTTTTAGAAACTCTTAATGTTAAGATAGGGTCAGTGGCTTCGAATTAGATTTTTCATTGTGTTTTCTTTTGTGCTGCTTTTATGAAGTGGGGTGCCTACAATTTTTAAGGTAAGCCTGCTTATCCTGTCCTTCGTCTCTTTAATTCTTAGTAAATGGCTCAGTTGGTAGTGCGATAGACTACAAATCTATAGTAGTAATGCCAAGCAGCGTCTCCCAGAGCTGTCATAAAAAATATATTAACACAGTTAATTCATGATTGTACCATACTGTCTCACTTTTGCTCATTAATTATGCTCCACGCACAGACCCATGTGGATGGGCAAATGCAAGATCAAAAAAGACAACCAACACCCTGTTGAAAAAAATCAATATTTTAAAAGATAGGATTTGATTTTTCTAACCCTACAACTCTGAAAGATACCAAAAAGAATATTTTGTGATTAATTTTTGGAGTGATTGATTTTACAGGGCGACGCTGCTTGTAGACCTGCATCTCTCGCTCTTTATGAAAACGAACTGAGAAATTTACCGTGCTCCGTGGAGTTTGCTAAGGACAAAGCATTCATCCCGTCATTTCTAGAAGATTGGGTGTTTTATCAAGTGTGGTTGAGAAAAAGAGAATAATCGTGTTTGAGCTTACGTAATGTACACCTACGACTCAAAAGTTTTGTGGGTCGCACTTCACAAAGTGAAGAAATGCTTTACTGTTATTGTTTTATACATTGTAGGGTCTTCTCGAAATCTCTACCGACATTTAAGGTACTGTTCCAAAACTCAAAAGTTGCCTGTTTAGCCGCCATTTTGTTTTTCACAAAACTTTTGTTTATTTTTTAAACAGCATTATGTCATGAATGGCCGCCATTTTAAGACTAAAAAAAATATTATTTTCTCAAAATAGGTCTGTAAGTAACTAGTGTACCAAATTTTGTACTAATTGAAAGGTAGCTTAAAGAGTTACTTGTGAGTTTTTGAAGTTTTAACAAGATATTTTAGTTTGTCTTTGGTCCAGTAAAGATATCTCAAAAGGTGTGTAGAGAGTTCATAAACGGACTGTATTTTAAGGATTGTACAAAACTGTATTTCCTAAGTAAATATTTATTTAATATTTTTATCGTACAAATTACTTGACCTGCCTATCCACTCTTCTATAGTCGAAAACCTAGTGAAAACCTCTATAGTAAAACACTTCAACATAAAACTTTATATTTATACGTTGTTGGTTGTTTTAAGTCTTTTAATTAAAACTGGAATGCTTTGCAACAAAATAATTTAGTTGGCTCGTAAAACATGTAAAATTTCCAAATATAACAGTGTGTTCATTAATGTTCAATGTACCATGCAGTTCTAACGACTTCTTAACTTTGTGACGTGTAAAGATACCATTTAATGTTGCGTATTGTCTTGGTAGACAATCGTTTTCATTTGATAAAGCTTTAAAGCGTTTAGCTCAGTTCATTTTTAGAATGACTTGTTAATACTGAAAAAATATATTGACGTAAACTGCTTAAAATATGCACAAATGTGATGTGGTATAGCATTTTGTAATATCTATTGTACATTGCAACATATTTGTTTATTTGTGCTTTAATTAATACTAGTGTTTGTTGTTACTTTAATCTCACTGGACTATTTTCATGGGGTGAGGTTCATAATGTCCAAATTTCACAAACTCCAACGTCTAAAATATTAAATAAACAGTGCGTTTCATAACCTCCAAACTTCATAAACTCCAAAACTATAACTTCCAAATAAGCACAGTTTCACAATGTCCAAATTTCACAAACTCCAACGATAATATATTAAATAAACAGTGCGTTTCATAACCTCCAAATTTCATAAAATCCAAAACTATAATTTTCAAATAATCACCGATTCACAATGTCCAAATTTCACAAACTCCAACTTTTAAATATCAAATAAACAGAGCGGTTCATAACCTCCAAGTTTCATAAGCTCCAACGGTACAGTCTCTGCCATAAGTCAATCGGGATACCGAGGCGGACGGGCCGAATGAACCTCTCTGTTTTACACAAACATACATTCACTCAACCTGCTCTGCTGCACTTATTTGTTAACATAAAAATTTCAAATTGATATATTATTTTTCTGGAAAAACCAGTGCTCATTACTATGTAGCTAGTTTTTACCTTAACATAATTGTTATAATTTATTTAGGCAAATTAAAACAGATGATTGTTTTTTAACACCATAAAAAACATGAAAAATGTAGTAAGCGAGGAACTTTTTTATTTTTTGGTCAGGAAAAAAAATCCTGCTGCAAAGTTTTAGATCAAAGAATGAATTTTATTTTTTATTTGAAGCTTTTTTTGATACGGAGCCTGCTTGTATCATTTTTAAGCGATTAAAAATAGGCCTGAAATCGCTTGGCGCGGCATTGGCGCTAGGAGTTTGGCCGGCTCAGCATCAGTTTGCGGGATATAGAAACTGAGTTTCTAGCATTTAATCATCATTATATTACATCAAATATGTCATTACATTACGAAGAATGGTAACTTAATTTACAGGCGTATGTTTGTGCATTTTAATGCTTACCGGTAGTCTATAGTTAACAAAATTTTTTGATATAAATGCTTTCCCGATTGTAATTTCGGAAATTGTCTTCGTGAAATGTGGAGATAATTTAAGTTCTTGGTAAAACCCACTGAATTAGCGACCTGGCCCAGTTATTATTTCTACTTTTATTCTCCTTTCGTTAAGGTAAACTAAATTAGTGTAAATGCATCCCTTTGACTAAACTTTACCCTAGATTTGGTTCTGGTCCAAATAATAGAAACAAAAATAGAAACTACTCTTATTCTAAGTTTATGTGGTGGAATTCCTGCTAAAAGTGCGATTGACTTTACATTCTATCGAAATAGGCCTATTTAAAACGTTCAGCGGGTTCATAGTTGAGACCATGGTTGAGACCACATTACAATACCTATTTATTTGTTTCTTCATCCTCTTTAGCCATTTAGTTGTTAGATAGTATTACATGTTATATTCAATTGATATATTATAATTTTATTTTAAAACATTTAACGAGTTTATATTCATCTATATTTGAAAAAGCTAATCAACGGCTCACGACTAACATTTTTGCCACTGCAGTGCATGGTTAGGGTTTGATTACCCATTTGTCGAAACCAATCACGAAATTACGTTTCTCCAGCATTGACATGCATATAAAGAAAAGGAAACTACCTCAAAATATTATTGTTATAGGTTTTGCCCTGTACTTTATTCATACTATGCATGCTAGTCTATATGATCTTAACCCCTTTTCCTTTTTGAAACAGAATGTACCTAGTTAAAACCTTCTCCAAACAAAATTAATAAATCCCGCTCACTGGAACTTGTCATAGTAATTGCTTTAGTGAAAAAATATATTGTCTCTACGAACTTTTTTAGTTTAATTCTCAGGTTAGTTCCAGAGTAGCCGTTGAGGTCATTCCACTTTAAACAAAATATTGATTAAACACTAAAGTAAGCGTCAAATGTTCATGTCTATGCTTCAACTGTATTTTGTATTTTAACTGTATTTTAACTGTATTTTGTGTAACAAAAACGTTTAGAATATATCATCTCATTATAATGTTTTTGAAATAAAAACAAAGCAGGAGTTTTCCATTTAATATTGAATCCATAATTAATTAGTGAAAGTGGCTATTGATTGTTAAACATTCCTTCAACACAATAATACGCTTGAAATATGAAGACATGTAAACAAAGTAAAATAATTTTGTAGACTTCGTAAACATATGTTTTAAAATGAAAATACCCCCGCCGCAGCAAACCTGCAGTTGCGTTACATACATTACATACACTCCAGCCAGCTGTTATCTTATTCTTAATGTATTGTTATTGCCTATTCGTGGTTCAGGAAATAAAACATGACATTTGTAGTTTATTTTATTTATCGATATTACTTTTATATAATCAGGTATATTGACAGTATGACCTATCACCTAACTGTCCTGTTCACCTGTTTGGTCCTGTTAGGAATCAAAGAAGTCTAGAGTTAACAAAATACTGTACTAAGGCAGAATTTTGTGGAGTGAATTAAAATATCAGTAACTAGTCAAGCGGATGTACTATAAATCCGTTATGGACGGGCGTGAGAAAAAAATAATTAAGGTCAACAAGGCACATTCTGGCGCCAAATATGAAGCACCCGAAAAGTCGCAAATGTACACAACATACTTAAAACAGTGCGCGCGCGTGAGCTTTTTACTATTCTCTTGGATACAGGTTCTTTTCCTGATTATCGTATGATATTATATCAAAACTTAAATATAATTTTTCAAGTCCTCTGCTCATAGATACTACGCACTATGTTCAAGTTGAGATAATCTTCGTCCTCTACTGTTAGACTCACACAATCAACAACAATTTTATCATGAATTATTTCGCTTATTTTTTTTTTATAAATAAAATCGATATTCAATCCTTTAACTCGTATTTCAGTAGATCAAGACCAGAGATAATGTTCTCCATCTCTAAGTAGTTGTTTTTTCAATTGGTAAATTTAATTTAAGAATTACTAGCTCTTATGTTTGCTGTTGTTTTACTAAATGCGATGCATTTTTTCATTGTAAATTAGGCACAGTTTATCTGAAATCACCAAACACAATACAGGAATCCCACCAAAGATTGATATCTCAAACTCTTGGTGTCTTAATAATTAAACCTGTCAATGTTCAACAGTTCAATAATACACCAGCTACTCATTCACTAGGATGGACTTTCATTAAACTGTGTGACACTTCACAATAAAAAACACGGAAGTAAAATAATTCGGGAAAAAACTCCTTTGCAATGTGTATCCTTAAATTCGTGATATTACTGTTTAACCTAGCAAAATAAATGGAATAAAATACAAATAAAAATGAAATAAATGTTGATTTACGTATCATTGATTGCAGATAAGTATTAAAACGATTATAATTATTGTTGAATCGTGAGTCAGCAGTGTGCTTTAGGTAAATAATGAATAGCTCAAACGAAAGCTGGTATTTCACTAAAGGTTTTTAGTCCAAAACATATAGGTTAATGTAATTAGAACTGCTGTAATACATCTTTAACTGAAAACATAGTGTTCGCAATGTACAAATTCATTGATAGAGCATTGAAGTTTTGTTATTAATTGTTGTAAGCAATTTAAGCTGGTTGGTATTATTAAAATATGTTTTATAAATAATAAAAACTAGCGAACCTGGCACACGTAACCGTGCACCAATTTACACAGTTTACAAATTTAAATATAACGGTCTCAACCCCTACGTCAAATAATGCTGATTCACAGTGGTTATTACAAATATGATCAATAATGTAGCCATAAGGTAAATAAAAATTAGTACGTTGAGCGCGATATTATAGTCGAGAACACTATTTTTAGAGATAGCATGGTAATGAAAACTCAGACAAATCCCGTCGATAGACTTAACTTATGAAACTCACTAATCAGAGGGGAGCCAATCCATCACCCGATGTCTTCTAACGAACAAGAATGGTCAATTCAGCTTGGATGCTTATTAAAAGGGAATCGTGTGGTGATTCCCAAACAACTTCGTGCAAGAATTAATTTTTGAAAGAACTTCATGAGGCTCATGTGGGTATAGTTCGCATGAAGGGACTAGCTCGTTCGTATGTTTGGTGGCCTAAAATTGATGCAGACATTGAGAATATGACTTTAAATTGTTTGGGATGTCAACGAGTACAGCATGAATCACCCAAAGCACCAGTTCACCATTGGGAATATCCTTCAAGGCCTATGCAAAGAATTCATGTTGATTTTGCTGGACCAAATGGTTAAAATTATGGCCATTTACTGTAGGCATCCACAATTAGTAGAAAATAATGGCCATAAAATGGTCCAGCAAAATCAACATGAATTCTTTGCATAGGCCTTGAAGGATATTCCCAATGGTGAACTGGTGCTTTGGGTGATTCATGCTGTACTCGATAACTCACTCCATATAGGAGTAAAGAGCCAGTTTGCGAATTTTGAATAACGAAATATTTGCCAAATATACATGTTTTGTACGATACATACCAGCTTTTAACAAGATTTTTGTGACAACTTTCAACGATAGCCAACGGTAC